ATGCGTCAGCAAGACATGCAAGGTAGGCACTACGAGCAGCACTGTCCAGCTGCAGCGACTCGCGGTGTGTTCGCATATGGTCTGCAGCACGCTTCGTGGCCCCCGAAAAGTCGCAGACAGGGCAACTCCAAGCACCATCAGTCCACGCCACGGGACGCGGAGGCTGCGAGAGCACATTATCTGACGCGTAGTGACACGGCTCTCGAGCCGCAGGGTTATCGATGGAAGGAGGAGCGTCCGTGGAAGCAGGCAGGGAGATATGAGCTTCATCGGGCGTGCACGCGAGAGGAATCTCCAAATTCTCGTGAAAATTGGAGCGCACATGTGCCTGCGTTGGCTTGAAGCGCCGAGCTTTGGCCTGCCGAAACAAAGACAACACGGCCAACATGCCGCAGACGATAGCACGTGCAGGCACCAAGACTCGACTCAAACACAAGTTGCCTGAGGCATGTTCTAATGCGATTTCGCCGTCCGCCGAACAGGTAAAGGCACGTGTGATAACGGACCACAGGGCCGTAAATTCGTCGGCGGCCCAAGCACGATTCAGAAAGGAGGAAGACGAAACCACCAAAGACTCAAGTTGGTTGACAAGAAGCAGAGGGATCTCGCACCCAACGACAGGTAGCACGTAGGTCTGTCCTGCATACCAGAGCCTGGGCAGTTGTGGACGTGAAGTCAATGCAGTCCATGCGTCCAGGAATTGCTGTTTTGTGTATGTCCCGGCACGCACCTCGGCAGCGGCACTGAGTTCTCACGCATGTAAGCACGACGAGAAATGCGGGACCCGGCGCTGGACGCGGACGCGTCCAGTAGGACACAAGTATTCCAAACGAACGACGACGTGTGGCAGGTCTGCTGCACACGAGATAGGCGCAGCATATTGCGCACGCAAAGCCGCGCGCAAAAGCTGCACAGAGTCGAGGGACCAAAGGCTGCTCACGAAACACGGATGGACTCGCAAAAAAGCTAATTCTAGCTGCAGCGCTTCTGGGCAGTAGCATGTGCCTCGGCGGTCCAGACGATGACCATGGTAGCGCAGTCTAGCGCGCACAAGAGACATGACCTGCACCGAAGAAAAGAAACAACATGCACACTAGCCATTGCGAATAGATCTTGCCGAAACAAAAAGGACGATGTCGCAAAGGCCAGACCACGCCAAGAACGCTACAGCGCAAACCAGCGACACCCCAGCCTCGTACCAACAGGTGCTATCTGCTGCTCTCACCGCACCCTGCAGGAAGCAACCGAGCAGCCACACACTGGGACTCCAAGCAGTTCATCACTCTTTTTGTACAACGGGATCTTTCGTCTGCACGATGCATGCAGGAAGTTGCCTGCTTCATACGAGCCTTACATTGCCGACCAAGGCTCTCAGAATCACTCTGATTCAGCACGGCTCCGACTACGTTCTCTTTTCCCCTACGAAAGCCATTCACATGTCCAGCACGCCCCGGTACGCCACAGTTCCTGATGAACACGGAAGTTTCCTCCACGGAGTTCACGATGCCCACAACTTCGTTGGCAGCTGTCCATCATCCGTTGCATTCAGCATGAGGGCAGCTTCCCTGCAGTCTGTGTTGAGCACGAAGAGAGCCCTCGTGGACGCGGTACTCGTCGTCGTGGAGCTCCCTTGACCTTCATCGTTCGTCTCGGCAGGGTCTCTGCAGTTTTTGGATGGCTCCAAGGAAACCAGCTGTTGCCCTGACTCGCTGACTGGTCAGGGTGGATGTGGCCCGGTCCATGGTGCCAGGGATGAAGCCGATGGCACGGGAACGTGCTCGTTTGCCGAGTTGAACTCGAACTCACTGTCACAAATTGAATTGGTGCGAAATGGACTCCGGGACCGATTCCCTTGCCTAGAAGGCGACGAGAGACCGGATCTTCCCGCGACGCATGCTGCATCTTCATCCTCACTGGCGCTCTGCGACGACGGCGGAACTGCAGACTCTTCACCTTCGCCTGGCTGGAAAGGCACACTCATGTGGACTTCAAGGATGTTGCGGAGCACAGTCCCGAATTGCCTGCCCCATATCATCATGCGCCAACGCTCTGTCTCCCGGGCAGGCACACGTTGAACCGGGAACACACCCCGTGGCAGCAAACGCCGGAGATATACTGCGACCACAGCCTCCATCGCGTGGATGCCTTCTGCTTTCTTGTATACGTTGAGCATTACGCACAAGAGACCAGCGGCTCTCCGGCCCAAGTCCACAGCGTTGCTGTCTATCAAGCGAAGCAAGCAGCTGGCCGACCTGTCGTTCTGTTTCTTGCGGTACGCCATGCTCCTGCAACATGGCGCTTTCCGAGTTCGTCATCGCCATAAAGTGATGATGTTCATCCAGATGTCTAGACCAACACCGAAGAGGGGCACCACTTCGACGAAGAAGTTGTGGAGGAGGTACTGGAACTGCAGGACCACGAACACGAAGACGAATGCCATTGTCCACTCTAGGTGTCTGCGGTGTCATCTGAGTTCTGGGAGTGCTCCGCCCAACTGTGCAAAGAAGCCGCTCCAATCGAAGAGCTAGCCGGCAGGTTCGAGCTCGAAGAGAACGTAGTCGACAAAGGCGAAAACGGTCATAGTCGGCGCAGTCCAGGTGGAAGTCGCCCCATTCAAACAAGTAGTAGCCGGGCGAGGTCCATGAAGGTGCTCCAGGATCACGACGTTCTGTCTTGCCCATTTCCACTGAGGGAACCAAAGAAGTAGTGGCCGGCGAGGTCCACGGAGGTACCCCAGGAGCATGACGTTTTGTCTTGTCCGTTTCCACCGGAGGCTTGCCCTGCGGACCGCCATGTGCAGCACCAAGTAGGAGGAACAGCGCACAGGGCCGCACAAGCTGCAGGCCAAAGGCCTCGCAGCAGAGTCATCAGCAAGAGTTCAAGGAATGTGTCCACGTACAAAATCTGGAGCCAGGGCCAGCTCTGGGTATGCATTGTGGCTGACGCACACTCCATTCTACGAGTAGGACAGTGCTCCACTGAACATGTCTGTCTAGCCCACTAGCCGTGCCTGCAGTCTTGGTGTACCTTTCAACAGGCAATTCAATAGCCGGGCATCGAGTTCTGTGAAATCGAACGGCGAAGCCTTGAACCAGCAGGTTTTGTCAGCCACGTTCCCACCGCACCTCGAAACAAGCAATTGAACAGGTGGGCACTAGACTTACGGAAGTTTGCTGATTGGCGAAGCCTTGTACCAGCAGGTTTTGTCAGCAAGGTGGCTGCTCCCGCCGCACCTCGCAGCAAGCAGTTGAACAGGCGGCACTGCACTTACCGAAGTTTGCTGATTGCCATGCTAAGATTGGAACGCTGCGAGTGTCCAATCCACTATCAGTCGGTAACCGGGCATCAATGCACATTCAACTACGGGAGCGTTTTTTTGATCTAACACAAATTCGGTGGAGCGCGCGTAAGTGTTGTCNNGGCCAGTCGGTAACCGGGCATCAATGCACATTAAACTACAGGAGCGTTTTTGATCTAACATAGATTCGGTGGAATGCACGTAAGTGTTGTCGAGCCCCACCCCAGTACAAGAGGCAACTGGAGTGTCCACTCTACTATAAGGCCAGTCGGTAACCGGGCTGCAATGCACATTCAACTACAGGAGCGTTTTTGATCTAACGTAAATTCGGTGGAATGCATGTAACTGTTGTCGAGCCCCATCCCAGTACAAGAGGCAAATGAGTAGCAGGGCATCAAGGCTTGCCAAAGCTTTTGCTGTTCGAAAAATGACATGAAAGCACGGCAGCATTTAACTCCACGAGCGGAGAAGCTTCCATACTGGATCGCAGGAACCGCGTAGATCCGATGCTTAGACAGCGTTGCAAACCCCACATGCCTTCTCTTCTGCCTGGCCCACTGGCTGGGCCCGCCAGGTCTTGCTGCGCCTTGCAGGAGGCGCAAAGGGTGAAAACTTCCAAGGTATGCGCTACAGCAATGTGACAACATAATCTGACAAGTATTTCCTCGGCACGCCTGCTCTCGGCACGCGGAAGCAATGCCAGGCAGTAAGCAGATGAGCCAGCAACGCCCAGCAGAAAATTCTGGTAATGTTCTCGTCTCGTCTTACTTTCCACGCTTCTATTCCTCCCATTCCTCCCGTCTAGCGTCGCTAACCAGGTCAGGATTGTCCAGCAGAAAATCCTGGCAATGTTATCGTATTGTCTTGCTTTTCACGCTTCCTGCGTCGATGCCCTGGTCAGGAACGAGCTTGCATTGTTTTGGCAGGTCTCAACTTTAACGTGCAAACTGCTTGTTGTCTAGCCTGCACCAGCCCTGTCCATTGCAGAGCGAATCGAGCCAAAAATCAAAGGGTGGATCCAGGCCAGGTTCGTCCATTTAGAAATGTCAAACCTCACCCTGGCAGATGCAGAGAGCAACATCAATTCCGGACACTCACCCCCTTCTCGCACAACATGACACGATACGGCCAGCATCAGCAGCCTCATCCAGCACACCCAGGCCAGCATCAGCAGCATCAGAGGAGCTCCATTTCTCCCTCGGACGTCCGATAAAGGCACTTACCAAAGAGACTGAAATCTAGCCCAAACAAAGGCTCATTTGGCAACGACGGTTTTCCCAGCTCCAGCTGGGGAGCCGAACAAACCCGCCAAAATGCCCCCACCCCCCCTCCCCACCCCCCCACACCCCCCCGATAACCCCAAGCTCACTTCGTGAGGTAATGAACGAAGCTCCCGCACGGGGAGCTTTCGTGAAAAGCTCTCGACAGAAAAATCTCAGAGGTGTATGCCACCACACGAAGGCCATCCAAAACATCAGTACTATGTATAGTGGCCAATGTGGGGTTCTCGGCTTAACCCCGCACCAATACCCGGCGTATACAGTAGCTGAACTTGGAAACAAAAGCGAATACTCACCACAAGCAGCAAAAGTGGGCTTCGTTGGTGCCACCACTGCCCTCCTTATTGCATCCGGCTGCAAGGTGGATCTAGCGCCCACACACATACACAAACACACACACACACACACCGACACGCACACTCCTGCGCTTCGGGAGAGCCATTTGCTGCCACCGTGACCGCCCCCTCCACGAAGTCGGTCCCTGAGGTCACAACCAGGACCCGCTTTCAAGAAGTCTTGGAACGATGCTTGTTCTTGATTTGCTTACGGGCTTGGGAGTACAAAGCTTGAGGAGGATGGTGTAAATGAAGTGCTGTGCGACGTTGGGTTTTTGATTGTTTGATTGATGTCTTTCTAGAGGCAATGGGACAAGGCCTTGTGGCGGAATCGAGCACGGCCGAAAACGCAGCTGGACCTTAGGCGCAAAACAATCGTGTTCGAAGCCCTGAACCCACTTGTAGGACAAAGATTCAACAATGAGGTAGCTGCTACTGCCTGTGAGAGTGTGCTGCAAGGCAGCTGGCATTGGCATGAGAGTTCTCTTAAAGTGTAGGAAAGTCTGTGCCACGACCAGGGAGGGAAGCGTCTTAAAGTCACGACATCCTTGGAACTGAAAGGTAATGAACCTTGAATGCCAAGCAATAAACCACGCCAACAAAGGCCGTCGAAGCACTGGTGGGCAAGGGTGCCGGAACGGAGGGCTGATCCAAGTGTCGTGGGCCTGCAATGCCAGGGTGCCGCAATTGAAAAACGGGAATTGATGCTTGTGGGAGTCGCGCAGTCGGGCGGTGCGTGTTTGTTGCTAACTTGCAGGCAAGGTCGCAGGGCGTTCTATAATGAAACCCTTCAGCTGGTGACCCAGCTGGTGATGCTGGTGTCTGTGCATGTGACCTTGGATTCGAGCATCCTTTCAGGCCCACATTTGGGAGCCCACTCAAGCCTTTTGGCAACGACACGCAGACATGCGCATAGTCAAAATCAAGCTGGCGCGGCCCACAGCTGGTAGTCTGCGGCAGCTACAGCCGAATGCTGGACCTGGGTAATGCGGTCATCGCCTACAGCATGTGACTGAGCGGTGCTTGGGACTCATACATGGCAGAAGCGGCTATCGGCGGTTATCGACAGCCAGCATGTTGCAACCCGAAAGGATCAGGCGCCGCGCTGACGGCCGAATCCGGTACAACCACACATAGCGGTTCTTCGCTCTGGGGACCTGAGCAATGACCGTTTCTTGGGCAGAAGTGGCGCAAAACCGTGCATGGCTCCGCGATCTGACAATCTATAGGCAATTTTGGGCGATGAGACTCGCACAGTGAACGCCGACCCGGAAACAAGCTCTGGGTAAAGGCCTCGGCGGGAACAACGACAGCAATCAAGATCTGGACACCACTTCACAACTCATGATTGCAGTGCGACGGTGGTGATAGTGGTGCCAGTAGTGAGGCTGATGTTGCTGGAGGACGAGGCTGCAGAGGATGCAGAGGAGGAGGAGGAGGAGTAGGATGAGGAGTAGGAGGAGGATGAAGGAGGCGGAATGGATGATGATGATGATGGTGATGATGATGATGATGCTGATGATGGTGATGATGATGATGATGATGATGATGGTGATGATGATGGTGATGGTGATGATGATGAGGATGAGGATGGTGATGATGATGGTGATGATGATGATGATGATGATGAGGATGAGGATGAGGATGAGGATGAGGAGGAGGATGATGAGGAGGAGGAGGAGGATGAGGATGAGGATGAGGATGAGGATGAGGATGAGGATGAGGATGAGGATGAGGATGAGGATGAGGATGAGGATCAGGATGAGG